AGCTATCTGACGAGTGCCAATACATTTTTCAGGAGCTATGGTCAGGCGCCCTCCTACTTTCTGCTTGTTACGCGACATCCCGTCTGTTCCTGAGCTCTCCCAAGGCCGAGGTTTTCCCCGCCGATAGTCCGATAGGCCTATGTTTTTTTTCCCCTTGGAATGCGTGTCTCGGGAATGCGTACATGCCTCGTGAAAGCGCACACACACACACACACACGCACACACACACACACACACACACACACACACACACACACACACACACACACACACACACACACACACATTTATACTCATACTCTTATACTTATATTTATTTATATACAAATACATTTCGTCATTCTAAAACTTTTTTTTTTATAAAATCAAATAATATCAAAGTGATACAATATTATTCTCTCTTTCTATCTTTCAATATTATTGTTTCTTTCAATATCATCCTTTGCTTTATCCTTCAGTTCTTTTTCTTCGCATTCTCACCAAATACTTCACTTTTCGCCGCCATAGTTAAGAAAGAGGGAATAATGGAACTGAATTGTGACTTAAAAACATGTTCCTCTCCCACTCACATTACAAGAGAAAAAATAAGATAGTCCTTTGACACTGAAAAAGACTTGAATCTACCAACGGGCTTAATTATCCAAACAACACATTAACTCGAAGGCCAATTTTCCACTAGTAATTCCGTGCAAATTAATCCTAAAAATAGGCAGTTTAACACCAGCCGAACTTAGTAATCACGTGTTCGGTCGTAGCAACACTCGTCAAAAAATGGTCTTAATCCCTAACATGGCGACATAACTAAACAAAGAGTGAAAGAAAGAAAAAAAAAGGAAAAACAAAAAGAATGAAAAAGAAGAAAGGAAGAAAGAAAGAACGAAAGAAACGAACATAACGAAACGAAACGAACGAACTTAAGAAAGAAAGAAAGCAACCAAAAGAAAAAAAGAAAAGAAAATCACAATCCACAACTTCCCCCACTCCCCCTCCCCCTTCCCCCCTCCCCCCTTTCCCTCTGGCGCCGGAACAAGCCCTATCATATTTCCACATACTACAGGAGCCTCAGAGACCGCTCAGAATACACTTACATAATCCATTTCTTTTTAAACCTTAACTAAGTACTCCGAGCAAAGTGAGCCAGTTCAGAGACGAAATTATATGAAGTCTAAATCTAATCGCTTACGTAACTGATCACAAAACTGATAAAGGGCACAGAGAGGATTTTATAAAAACAAGACAAAAAAACACGAAAGCTAATTCTATTAAGAGATTGGTAGATTTACTCCATTTAATTGCACAAGAGGTCTAATACCCTCCTTTGTATCAGTTGAAACTAATAATATAACCTCTCACCCCCCCTTGCCTCTCCCTCTCTCTCTCTCCCTCTCTCTCCCTCTCTCTCCCCCTCCCCCTCTCCCTCTCTCTCCCCCTCCTCCCTCCCCCCTCCCCCTCTCCCTCTCCCTCTCCCTCTCTCCCTCTCCCTCTCCCTCTCCTTTACTCCCTCCAATTTCTGACGTCCTAGTAACAAGGGACACACAAGGGTGCATCCACAACCTGACCTGAACCCCCCCCCCCCATACAAGGCTGCCAATCCTCTTTTCATTCTATTCTGGCCGCTATGAGGAAAGGAGGAGGAAGAGGAGGAAGAGGAAGAGGAAGAGGAAGAGGAGGAGGAGGAAGAGGAGGAGGAGGAGGAGGAGGAGGAGGAGGAGGAGGAGGAGGAGGAGGAGGAGGAGGAGGAGGAGGAGGAGGAGGAGGAGAAGGAGGAGGAAGAAGAGGAGGAGGAGGAGGAAGAAGAGGAGGAGAAGGAGGAGGAAGAAGAGGAGCAAAAGAAGAAAAAAAAGGAAAAGGAGGAGGATGATAAACAAATTTAGACGAAGGAGACGAGGAAGAAGGAGGAACGAAAAAAAAAATCGATGAATGTATATCCAGAAAGAACTAGTCACGTGCCCCTCCACAAACCACAGCGCCACAGACAAATCAATATAGCGTGGCAGAATCGAGGTCTAGCGGAGCCTTAGATTCCCACGAGACACGGAGCATAGGGGGGAGGGGGGGAGGTGACAAAAGGGATGAGGAGGGGAAGAGGGGGGGAAGGGAGGGAGGGAGGGAGGGAGGGAGGGATCACACGCATACCTGACACACTACACCCTAATATCTAATGTTTAACCCTCACCCTTCTCCCTGTGAAGCCTATACCTACACCCTACACTCTCGCCCCCCCCCACCCCCCCTCCTTCCTCCTCCTCCTGTCTCCCTTATCCTACCCAGACACCACTCGGCGCCTGGGATTCCTATTCACAGGAGTCAAACCTTGGCGTCAGTGATTTTATCCTTATATCCCATTCCGTATTTGCTGTGCCTTATCGAATCCTTATCTGCCTGATAATTTTGTTCGTAAATAATTTTCTCGTTTTGGAATGTGATCCTAAATCCGCCCAGGATAATCCGGCGTCTCCGCCACCAAATCTCCTTCTCCTCCTCCTCCTTCTGCCCCATT